ATGACAATAAAAAACTTTGGTATTTATTTCAAGAAAATAAAAATATTATTAGGAATAAAATTGAAAATAGACAAAAATTAAATTATCATTCATTTCTTGAATCAATGTCTGATATTGATCAAATTTATCGAAATGATAATTTTCTTAAAAAATTTCAATGGTTGAAATTTATTATAATATTAATCGATTCAGTATTTCGTGGTATAAGTCAAGTTATGTTTGCAAATAATCCATTATCAGGTATAATAATAGCAATTGGATTAGCTATTGATAATTGGCAATTAACACTTTATGGAATATTTGGAACGACAATATCAACATTAACAGCACATTTTTTAAATTTCAATTATAATTCAATTCGAGCTGGTTTATATGGTTATAATGGATGTTTAACAGCTATGGCTATTGTTTATTTTAGTTTATATGAATTTCCACATATAATTTTCTCGATTATTATAATGAGTATATTTTCAACAATATTTTTTGAATCTATAAGTAAAATATTTGTTAATCATCTCGGTATTCCATCGTTTACATTTAGTTTTCAAATATCAAGTTGGATATTACTTCTCGGTGCTATGAAATATCAATATGTTATTGTTAATGGAAATATTTTACAACCAACATTATTAACAACAGTTAACAATAAAACTCATTTATCTAATGTATCTTTTTCTGATTATTCATCTGAACATATTCTCATTAGTTTTTTTACAAGTATTTCACAAGTTTATTTTGTTGATAATCCTTATACGGGTGTTATTATTCTTATTGGTATTGCATTATGTTCAAAAATTCTTGCTTTATTTGCATTATTTGGAGCTATTTCAGGTTCATTAACTGCAGCGTTTCTATTAAAATTACCCGCACAAGCAATTTATCATGGTCTATGGGGTTTTAATACAGTATTGACATGTCAAGCATTAGGTGGCATGTTTATAGTTCTTTATGGATATAAAATTTGGTTATTAATATTATATGGAACAATATCAACAGTATTTGTTCAAGCAGCTGTATCCTCATTTCTATCTGCATCGGGTATGCCAGCGTTTACATTTCCATTTACTTTTATATGTTGGATATTCTGTTTAATGGTTCCTTCCAAAGATTTAATTCCAGTTAAGTTATCCGATTGTCGTATTCCCGAAGATCATTATTATCGTTTTTGTTTATCGAAATTTATTAAAAATGAATTTAAATATTTAAATATATTAAATATAATTTCATCATCTTCAAATGAAGATATAACAAATAATGAATTATTAAAAATTGAAAAAGAATTTGTTCCAATATTAATGTGTACATATGCATATCGAAATGATCTTAATAAAATGAAAATATTATTTAAAAAAATAGATCATAATATTAATCTAATTGATTTTAATAATCGAACTCCTCTTCATATAAGTGCATCGGAAGGATATATGAATATATGTCAATGGCTGATTGAAAAAGTAAAAATAGATATAAATATAATTGATAATTTTGGTTCAACACCATTATTTGATGGATTTATAAATGGAAATTTTAATGTTGCTAATTATCTGTTTTTAAATGGTGGAAAATTTCCATTTACAAAAAATAAAGAATTAGCTTTTTATTTAAATGCATTTATTTATGAAAATAATATTGAAGCAGTTAAATATTTGCTTCAACTTGGTTTCAATCCAAATGAAACTGATTATGATGGAAGATATTCGTTACATTTAGCGGTTAATACAGAAAATCTTTCGATTATTCGTTATTTAGTTGAACAAACATCTATTTCATTTGATATTAAAGATCATTTTAATCAGACGCCATATGATTATGCATTAAAATTATCTCAACCTGGTATTGCAAATTATTTAAACAAAGAAAAATATATTACTATAGAAAAAAATAAAAATATTGAAATTCTTATTGAAACAAATTCATTTGAACAAATAAATAATGAAAAAAATATTTCTACAATAACTTTAGAAGAAAATCTTTTACCATATCTTCTTTCTATTAGTACAACAGATAAATTATCTAATTTTATACATGAACATCCTGATATAAATATATTTGATTGTATTGATTATGATAAACGTTCTTTAACACATTTAGCTGCTATTAATGGTCAATATGAAGTATTTGAATATTATCAACAAAATTTTAATCAAGAAGATCGATGGAATTTATCACCCTTGGATTATGCAATTATTAATAAACATAATCGTATTGTTAATTCCATGAAAGAAAAAGAAGATCTATCATCTACTGATAATAATAAAATAGAATACAAAGATAATTCAATTATTTATCTTTTAAAAAAATGGAAAAAAATTTTTCTATTCTTAACATTATCTGCATCGGGAGATGTCGAAAGAATTGAATCACTTTTTAATCGAAAATATTTCATTCAACAAGAATTATATACTGATTATGATGGAAGAACACCAATGCATTTAGCTGCAGCTTATGGACATATGAATGTTATTCAACTTCTTATTCGCCTTGGATATAACAATGGAATAAATAATAAGGATCGTTGGGGATATACTCCTTTGGATATAGCTAAACAAATGAAATTTACTAATATTATTGATCAATTTCAACAACAATAGATTTAACTGTTTCTTATTAGATTTGATTTTGTTTTTCAATCAATAAAAATAAAATAAAAATATTCGTATTCTTTTACAATATATAAAAAAAATTATCACAAGGTGAAGATAACAGCGAGCACGATGAGAAGAGTCTCCTTCTCAATATATTCATAGCTGGATTTTTCAAGGTAGTAATACACAGAATGATAAAATATTGTTTTGTCGTTTGCTTGTCATTATCTATTGTCTAGATTTTTCTGACAGATTTATTTATTTCTTCGATTGGGTTTTTTTTATTGCTTCCTATGAATTATTCGTTAAATATTTCAATATGATACGTTTTTTAGTAAATACAAAAAATAAAGAAGAAAAGCATATGGTGCAAGTGCATTTGCCGATTATATAGCTTACGATTTTATCTAATCTATTTTTTTCTAAACGAATAAAATTAAAGCTTATTTTGGTGCATTTTTGTAAAATGTTATTTTTTTAATTGATTTATATTTCTCATACAAAAACAACTAAATATAGTTTTCGAAAGATGGAAATCAAAACATCGACTACTAATAATAAACTTGATTCTAAGAAAAAATCATCATCAAATATCGAACATCTTGAAACATTTATAATAGTTTGGTTAGATTCAAATATTAATAAAAATCAACTATTACAAAAACTTTTGCATCAATATATAACATATGTTGTTACATTCAATGATTTAAAACTATGCGAACAATGGTTAAAAACTCGTTTAACCAATGAAAAAATTCTTTTTATTGTATCCGGTGCATTAGGACGAAAAACTATTCCTAATATTCATCAATTACATCCAATTGTTGCGATTTATGTATTTTGTTTACATCCAGAATATCATACAATATGGACTAGAAATTATTCGAAAATACATGGAATTATTTCGGAATCAAATATACTTTTACAACAAATATCAAATGATTTAATTTATTTGGAAAATATTGAAAATTTAAAAACAATTAAAATTTTTACAGATTATCATCGTCGTACGAGAATTGTTGATCCTGAAATTGCGTCATTTTTATGGTATCAATTTTTTCTTGAAATTCTTCTCTCAACATCCTGTTTACATTCGTCGCCTTCGTCTATTGAATTAAATGAAATACTTCGTCGATATTCTTTAAATGATGGAGAATGTTTAGATTTAATTGAAGAATTCGAACAGACATATGATAAACAACAAGCTATAATATGGCTTATAAATAATACTATATTAACACGTGTTTTAAATAAAGCAATACGTGAAGAGAATATTTCCATGCTTTTTTATCTTCGTTTTTTTCTTATTGATATTTATAATCAATTGAGAGATCATCAATTGGATTCAGCACATGTTTATCAAAGACAATTAATGACATTAGAAAATATTGAAAATATTAAAATAAATTCAAATCAATATTTAATTTTCAACGGATTTCTTATAACTTCAATAAATAAACCTGCGGAGTTTTTGTTGAGTGATATTAATGATAATCAATATCAAACTGTTCTTATAGAAATTGATGCAAAAAATCGAAAGGGGTCAATACCATTTGCATCCATTCAACAAATGACTAATACGAATAATGATTCAGATATTCTTTTTATGTGTGGTGCTATATTTAAAATTATTTCATTTACAAATAATTATAATTCAACGTGGACTCTTCAATTATCTTTGGTTAGTGATAGAGATTTGAATATATTACTGGATAGAAAACAAAAATTCCAACAAAGTAAAGATTTATTCATGATTGTTGATTTATTAGATCATTGTAATCAACAAGACAAAGCCAATATCTATTGTCAACATCTTCTACAACAATTATCTTCTGATCATGTTTTAATACCTCATCTAAAGAAAAGATTGCATATGGATGCAAAAATTCTACCAGGTATTGCACTACAGTGAATATACGTTTGTCTGTATGAGCAACTTTTTCGAAATAAGATAATCTGTTCTCGTTCAGAGGCGTAGCCAGAGGGGGATATTGGTAAAGAACCTTGTCACAAGGCAAAAAAACTATTTTCCTGTTAGTGTGCATCCTTGATCTCTTTCTACGTTGCCATAATAAAAATGGGGAAACATATTTTTTCAATTATCATTTTTATGTCTTTTTAGTTTCTCTACGCACTGCTCAATTTGTTCTTATTGGTTTAACAATGCATTCTAACCAATTAGCATCTGCTATGTTGACTACTCTGCAATCAATAGCAAATGATTCTATAGTAATATATAGTAACAGTTCAAAAGTCGACTTCGAGGCAATATCTGATAAGACAATTCTAGTTTTTACAACTAGTCAAATTATTTCTACTATGACAAAAATACCTAAACAGCCAATAGAGTTTTTTATCTTAGAAGAGGATAAGAATAGGGTTGACCAAAGGGAACGATTTGACAATTGCGAAGATCTTATGTTTCAATTGGCTGATGAATTATATCATTATTATAAATTAGAAGCAATTGGTGATATAAAATTAGGCGACATTTCTTTAGCAAAAGAAAAAGAAGAACAAGCCAATCAGATTCATAAAGAATTAAAAGAAGTTCATCAGAGATTTTTTCGCACTGATACTAATGATAAATCTGATATTTATACAATAACAAAACTTATTTGGTTACAATCAACATATAATACTAATGATGACATGATCAAAATTCAAAATCTATTTGAAAATATTCTTCCATCATGTTTAATATTTTCCGATGAAGAAGAATGTTATTGTCATATATGTACAACTGAAATTGATACTATAATATTTCTTATTATCGATACTATTTACAAAGATTCATCTGTCGTTGGTTTTCAACAACTTAACAATGTTAAAAAAATTTATTTTTACGATCAATCATTACCTCGAAAAAATTTTGATAATATTTATTTTCAATTAATACATGATTTAATTTCACATTATAACAAATTGGGAAATGAATGTAACGCTAAAAAAGATGCAGAAAAAGCAAAAGATATGTTTATAAAAGCACAAAAACTGTGTGAACTTCTCATCGAACTTTAAAAACAATCTTCTTTTTGTGGAATAGTGGAATACTCCATATCAGACTAACAGAGTATGATAATGGAGTTATCTATATCTTCTAACAGTGTGTCATGGTGTTTTTCCCTTTTCTGTTATGGTGTTATCCAATACATACACATATATGTATATAGATGACGTTATATATATGTGTTATATATATATATATATATATATATTTTCATCTTTCTTTTCTTCAATAAAGATACCTTTTCCGAAGATCGTATTTTATTGAATATCAAGACGTGACACTTTTCTAATTTTTTTGTTTTCTAGATGCAAACTATAAATGATATTAAATTTAATAAAACTACCTATTCTCAAATTAAGCAATACACTCTTATACTTTATCAAATGAATGGACCATCCATCGCGATACCCTTACCGTATGCACATTTAATGACATTTATTCAGGTTTTTGATGATATAGCTCGTTGTCAACATCATATAAACTCTAATAAAGAAAAATTGTTTACACTATTTGCATACAGTGAAAATATCGAAACATGGTTGTTGAATAATAAAATACCAGATCATTTACATGAAATTATTATCTTTTGTCTACCTACTGATGATAAACAATATTTGAAATCATGGACAAGACGTTATACACAAAAAATTAAGGATATAATTACATACGATGAACTGGAACGTGATTTATTATTATTTGGAATGAAATATATTAAAGAATTATATCTGTATTTTCAAGATGATGAAGGAATATTGAATTTATTGAAAGAAGATCATAAAAAAATGGGTTTAGCTTTGATTGATTGTTTGGGAAAAGAAATTAACAAGCAGGATACTTATATTAAATTAAGTATAGAAAGTACTTCTAATCCTTGATCGTTTTTTATATGAAATTTTTAAATCTAGTAATACATATAAATAAATAAAAAGTACATTATACGTACTGCAATGGCTATTTTGAATACTGAGAATGGTAATAGGCAATTATTTCTTCTTTTTTGAGACATACTCTCTTTCATGAAGGAACTTAAAGTTGACTTGAGGTAATAAGAAATGTTTTGCTTTATTTCAGTACGTAACTAACCGAAGATCAGCGTGGTGTTATTCAACATGAAAACGCCAATTATTGTAATATACAACTACGTTAACACCAACTATCGTTAAAATTGAATACTGACTACTATTATCTCGTTAATATTAGCTGAAGAAAATGCAATACCTGTATATTGTTTCACTTTTTTTTAGATATTTATGTGAAAATAGCATTCACTCTCTCATATTGAATAGACTAACGGTATTATCAAAGTAGAATTTTTTGAGACTATGAACGATGGTTAGCTTCCTCTTCACTGAAGCACACACACCCGAGTCGCAGCAGAATATTACTTTGAAGCATCATGTAAAAGATAAACAATGATTTAGGAAGAGGGAATGATCTCATTCTACCGGTTATCTCCTATATTTAAGATATTTTTAATGTAGAGAGGGACAACACCATTTAATTTATTTGTTCGATTTTCAAATATATTAATAAATCCAATTAAGAAGATGCGTGTAAATCATATCTTCTTAATTTAATATTAATCATCTGAGATAAACTTTCTCGGAGAATACTTTCGTTATGACGTAGTCGCTATTCGTCTGTTTAGAAGACATTAAAATAAATATTTATAAAGATAAATTTTAGCATGGCTTGCATTCAAGTTACACGGAATTTTCGTTCGAATCATTCTTTTCTTTCTTGTAAGATACGGGTTATATGAAATAGTACTTTGAGATTTTACATTGACGTCAGATATGTTTTTAAAGTACGTCATTCAATTGACGTCACATATAATAATAAGATAAAGAATTCTAGAGGTATAAAAAGGGTGTGTGTGTATTTTTTTTTTAATTTAATAAAAAAAAATTACAATGGGATCGAATTATAGTTTATTAGCATCAAATATTTCAATTGAATTCTTAAATGAAAATTCAAATATTTATGAAACAGGACAAAATATTCATGGTTTTATTGAATTTAATGATGATAATAATAATAATCAAATAGAACATATAATTATTGAATTAATTGGTGAACTAGTTTATACAAATTATCGAAGAAAAGGAAGATCAACATTAGTAACAACTCATCAAGTACCTTTTTTTATTCAAATAATTAATTTAAATATGAAAAAACAAGAAAAAAAACTTACTTTTAATTTTTATCTCAATGATTATCTTCCATCTTCATTTGAACAGAATCATTTTCAAGGTTCATATATTCATTATTTTATTCGTATACGATCATTAGATAATCAGTTAAAAAAAGATTTTCCTATTATTATTAAACGTCCATTAGAAATTCTTCAAGGAAAATTTTTAGAAATTGAAAATAAAAATCTTGATAATATTCAATTAAAATTTCTTCTTAAAAATAATTTAACATTTATTGGTCAACATTTACCATTTCAAATTGATTTACATAATCCAAATCATCGAACAATTCATCGAATATCAGTAACTCTGATTCAATTACGAAAACTAGGCCCAATTAAAGAAGAACGTACTATTATATTGAAAGAAAATTTAATTAATTTTAATAAATTTCAAGATGAACATTATTCTCAACATTTTCAAATACATATTCCATATGGAATAAATTCTTCCTGTTCATATTTTATTCCAAACAAATCTTTTCAATGGCTTATTTTTGTTCAATACGAAATCTATATTAAAGTTCATATACGTGGAATTAATAAAAATACATCTTTCACAATTCCTATTGTTATTAATCATGAAACAGATGTAACATTACCATCCAATTATGATTCTCAATCAACAGTATAAATTCTGTTCAAATTGTATATATGTTTTTCTCTTTTCTTTTTTGACGAATAGTATTGAATAAATATTTTTCTTTTTTGTGAATAATATGTTATTAAATGCATTTTTATTTTTTTTTCTATTTTCTGTTTTATTAAACAAATAACGTCGCAAAAAAAATATACCGATTCATGTTCTTTTTTTTGGTGTCCTTGATTTATTTTTTTCGTTTGTTCGTAGCAAGTTTGCTTGCACATTCAGATATTTTATCATTCAATATTGTTACCACGTGTATCGTACATTCATAGAAATAAAAAAAAATCGGATTTATTCATCCATAACCTTGTTTTATTTCGTCGTCTCAGGTAAATGGTAGGATATATATTTTTCTCGTTATGTTATTTTTTTGCAATTTGAATCATTACTTTAGACAATATTGTCGACTATATATAACTTGATGAAGAAAAAAAAAAGATTGCACTTTAAGATAAAAGTAGATCTGAAGTAATTTTACATTGATGAACATTCTTTTCGAATTTAACAGATCATAAAATATCCGTCCGTTTTTTTCTCTATCATAGAATTAATAAATTTGAAAATTAAATATTTTCTAGATTTATTATATTGAACGTTCTATTCAAACAAATTAGAATTTGTAATAATGAGCAAAATTACCTTTCTTGGTCTTTTGCTTGGTGAGTATAAACTGATTCTTAAAACAACAGATCTTTTTATATTAATCATTGTTTTTTTGTTTCTTTCAGTTATGGTCATTAATATAACTGTGACAACATCTTTTGCTTATTTACCACCAGCTTCATTACTGGGCAAGTTTTAAATAGATATTTTTCTTTTATAATTAATAATGACTATATATCATTTATCTTTCAGTGCATGAAAAGAAGATTCCGCCAACAATATTAAAAGATGAAGATACTTACAGTAATAGTGAAGCTTCATCTGAATCTGTCGATAATCAGAAAAGAATGCTCTGCAATGTTATTGTTCGAGCAACAAACGATTTACATGTTTATCAAAAAAAATCAGCAGATGAAATTACTATGTATCTGAACGAGGATTGTGAAAATATTGGCAATGTACAACTTGTCGAACAGGTTAGTCGATCTTTATTATCATTTTTACTTCTTTATTTAATTTTTAATTTGTTTAGTGCCACGAAATGATATTTCAACATAGTGTAGAGATTCATAAACATATTGTAAATGGAGTGGTATGTTGCATTTAGTTTTACTTCCTACACATCTTTCTCGTTTTGTCTCTTGTAGAACATGCTCGACATTTGCAAGATGATTAAAGATGATAGTGAAATAGCTCTTGATAATGAGAAATCTGCTGAAGTAAAATTATTTTTTTTTCTGGTCCTTCATTCTATTGTATATATTTTTGAATGTAGTGTTCAAATGAAGATGGCAACAAATGCCAATGCTGTCTAGCACATATAAAAAAACGTAAAATACGCTTTCATTTCATCGTGAAACGAATGGCAAAGAAACGTATGCATATGTGTCGAAAATCTTCACGACCCCATCATTGTCGCCATTGGGTTCGACGAAAGGAGAGACACATACTGAAAAAAATCGATATGATCTGTCCACATATGGTTTGTAAACATCTCGGTTATTGTACCACTGCACCGGAAAATGATAGCTCAATCAAAATACTAACAGAATCGAACAAAAATATTGTCCAACAGTTTCCTTCATTCACATCCGAATCAATCGAACAACATCTAGAAGTTTATTTGACTCAAGATGTTTGTAACAAATTCGATAATTTTCAAGCACTCTGTGTTCACATTGTTGCTTCATCTGATAGTCATCGTTATACTAAGATATACATGACGGTACTTGACAATGATACCAAATGGTTTGACAATGATCTTCGCAAGGAAGCACAATTAACCCGAACTACTGGTGACATGAATCAATGTGATGAATGTAACAGTGCTATTCAATCATCGAAGGATTTTTATTTACAAAAACTGGTGAGTATATAATAGAATTAGTTTGAGATGTGCAATTAAATTAAATAGGGCTGATTTTAAACATATTAATTTATCTTTAGGAAACGGTTCATAATGCCCTGGAAAATATATGTAAACAATGTCGAGGAAAAGAAAAATGTGAAGAATATTTCAATGAACTGATCGACACTTTCAAAACTTATTTGAACTCATTAATTCCGAATCAAGTTTGTACGGCAATGCATCAATGTTTTTCTTCACCACCGATTATCTTAATTCCTGCTAATGTTACAGGAGATTGCACTGTATGTGTTAAATTTCTTCAACCACGTAAAGATGCAGCTTTACAAGCAATCGATAGACTTTCAACTTACTTTACTGATCTATATATAAAATTAAACATGCCACAATACCAACAACTCGTTTCAGAAATAACGACTGAAGCTCGCTTATTCATTAATGAATTTAATGTTCAAGATACTTGTATGATCATGGGTCTCTGTGAACCGAATGCTATTCAGAATGTAAATGATTATGAACAGGCTTTCGTCCAGGAGATTGGTAAGAAATTATGTTCAACATTAGGTCCATTTGATGCTCTCTGTCAACAAATTGTTGAAGGCAATGTTAAACAAGTACAAATGATCAGTATTAATGCTACCAGTATTGGTGAGTTTTTCACAGATTTCGAAGAGAAGACAGATGGTGACAATGCTGTAGATACAGTGGATGGTAATTGTTCTCTCATTTGATTATTAAAATATATATGTAAAAATTTCTTTCTTCTTATAGATAAATGCCAATGTTGTAAAAAACGAATGATTCAAAAGAAAAAGTGCGCGAAGAAACGTGTAGCTAAGTTCATTTCGCATATGCTTGAACTATGCAAACGATGTCCAGTACAAGAAAAGTGCGAGCATCACTGGGAAGAGAAAAAACGCTTTTGGGATGCCAAAATCGATAAGATCTGTCCGAAGAAAGCATGTATTCGAATGGGTTTTTGTACGAAGATCGATATGTCATTTATACATCCTCATATCAAGCCCTTCAACGAATTAGGCCAACAAGCAGTGAAAACAGTCGCACAAATGACTGCTGAAAGCTCACATGTAATGTTCTCTCAGCCAAAACTCGATGACAAGAAGCCTGTAGAACGCATTTTAAATTAGACACGTATTTATCAACGACTATTTTTTTCAAAAAAACTCCTAAATAACTGGTGAAATCGCTTATAACTAAATATATTGAATACCTTCGTTTTTTTTCTTCTTTTTGTACATAGAGTGAATTCCATATCATTTATTACTCTATTTTTTTTTTTGAGTTCTGGTTTCTATCATAGTCTAACCTAATCTTCCTTCCATGTTCTAAACATGGAGTATTTAATCAAGCCTTTCATATAACACAGACAATAGTTCACAACAAACGACCGTCTTTCGTTCGCTATTTCTGAAACAATCTGATTTATTTTTGGATAATTCATCTTACTGTACGATTACTTTTCTATTTCCTTTTTTTTATTTAATAATAAAAGATGCTGCTCTTCATTTTAATCAATCTCTTCTATATAGAATGAAAAAATCAAACATCTACAAAATATTGGGATTCAAAAAAATGATTCACTAGAAATGAGAAAACAGCGGTTCCGGTTCGGTTCCTAGCATATAATATAGAACCGAAAACGGTTCTGTTAAAGTATCAGATAGATACGATTTTTTTTAATTTGATTTATTTAATGATCGTCATCAAAACAAATGAAAAATTTCATCGTTCCATCATATCAACAAAAAAAAAAGATGACGCTAGTAATCGTCAAAATGGTTTCAGTTCCAGAAGGTTGGTTCCGGTTTGGTTCCATAAAAATGGAACCGCCACACCCTAGTGAGAGGCGAATATAATACGTATAATGAAAACACAAAAGTTCTAACGTATTTCAACGAAGAAAATTTAATTTTCTTAATAGTAAAGAAGTTCGCTGAATTAACGAGTTTTTAAATCTCCATATATTTGTATCTCGAATTCTGTTAAGTCGATGATCATTTTGACATGATTTTTGAAGTAAATAAACACAATCTTTTCTATAATGTTGTAAATGTGCTAATGTTACATTAATTTCTCGTGTTTGACACTTAGAAAAACAAATCAGAGGATAATGATTATGTACGGCAAGAATTCGTTCTGTATGAAAAAATGATTTAATATATGAACCACTTTTTGTATAATTAAATGAACGATAAATATGTGTTAACATATGTAAATACGAAGGAACAATTGATAGATTTGATTGAATAGTATTATTATTTTCATCAAGATTATCTAAAAAATAAATATGTCGTGCACTTAATGCATCATAACTTTGATTAATATTCGCGAAATATTTTTCTAAATCATAAATCATATCTAACCAATTAAGATGTTGTAACGGTATTATAATTTCATCGATATCAAGTAAAACAATATAATCATAAAGATAAATATTTTTATAATAACAATCATTATATGGAATAATTTCATTTTGACGTCGATGAATTATTTTTTGTTGTAAATATTTTTTTCTTTCTAATGGTGAATTTGGTTGTGAACCAGGTAAAGATAATTTTTGTACATGAACTAATTTTGTTTCGTTTTGATAATATTGAAGAACTTTACTCATATTTGGATGAATATCGAATTCATAAAAAAAAATTTTTTTAACACCTAAAATATTTAATAATTCAATCCATTCAATTAATCGAATACTTAAATCATCATGAAGAAATTCTAAACCTTTAACACAAACAGCAAATGATTGTTTGTTTTTATTCAATGGACGATTATTTATAATTTGAAGATTATTTGTTATTTCTGTACAATCCTTTTCAAATAATGAAACGAAATATGGTTGAAGATGTTTTTGTCTAGGAAATGGACAATTTATTAAAAATGGTTGAAGAATTTTATCTTCATAATTTCCCCATTGTTGACTCCAAATATAATGATAATCAGCTAATGTTATTATTGAATTTGAAATATTTGAAAACCAAATTCGACAATAGATTTTAATAGGTGATATTCGATCAATCATAGAAAGAATTCGTATTGTTGATAATGCACCATTAAGTGTACGATCATCATAGAATGCATTATAAAAGAAAAATGTTCCATTTGATGATTGAAAACGTTGCCAATAAATATTATTATAATCAATTTTTATAGATTCTGGAGATTGTATTCGACATGTCTGTCCTTGTTGTTTTGAAAGGTTTTGTAAAGAATTATTATTTGTTTTGAAATGTAATAGACATAGAAAAATAAAATAACTCCAAGTTAGAATAAAAGCAATTATACTCAATAATCGAAAGAAAAATATTAAAATATTTTTTCGACTATTTCGAAACTCACTTCTTGATTTAAATATGAAATAAACCATCTTCAAACTTATTTGTTTTCTTAATAAATACAATAGAATCAAGTAGACATGTGTCACATTACTTTTTTTCCTTCTCTTAATAGATTCAAGAATAGTATATATATATATATATATATGACAGGTGAGTCTAGAATCTAGTTGAGTTTCGAATAGCTTTTGTATTATTGAAAATAGTAATATTGTGAGCTCTCTATTGAAAATGTAGAAATCTTATTTGTTGAGTTTGCGAAAGGCTGCACGATCAAAATTATCTCTATATCTCAGAGTCAGACAAAAGAAGTACTTTCCAGAAATAAAACAATGAATTAAAAAAGTGACTCCTCCAAAAAACAGAACAGGAGCATTTTTTTGTTAGTGTAAATGCGAACACGATGATCTTTCCCGCCACTGTTATCCAATGCTTCGCCACAGCATTAGAGTATTTTTTTTTTCTCATTTTTCATTTTTTTGTATTCCTTCCCCTCTGTATTTTGTGAAGTCAATCAATACTAGAAAAATGTGTTTTTAACAAAAATAATTTCGAGAAAAACGGTTGGGCGTCACTAAGCGCCTCGCCGAAATATTTATTATTTTTTGATTAAAAAATTAAATCAGAATTTCAAGGTCATATGGAAACATTTGTAATAAGAGATAATATAACCATGGTGGCATAGCATTAAAGTGCAAAAATAATTTCATTTTTTCTACGTTGGATACAGCCGTCGCCATCTTAGTATCAGTATTTCGTATGACTATAATAATAAACGTCAACTGGTTTTTTCTTGGGCTTGCAGCATTTTCGACAGTATACATATATGAGGCAGAAAACAATAATAAAGCTAACAACACCTCCAATAGATCCTCCAGTAGTGTATCCATTACCGCTACGATATTCTCTGTCAGATTCTAATGATCCAGAAGTATTTAGAGCTTTTGACTCGAGTTTTTGCATTGTAATATTTCTAGCTGGTTCGATGTTATCCACGAATCTGTTGGCAGATGTATCGGCTTCCGAATTATCTGTTCGATTCGAATCGTTTGTAGCGTTATTTTTTAGTTCGTATACGGTAGTGTTGGTTGTTGATAGTGTAGAAATAGATGTCTCAGTGAACACTTGCCTGCGTTTCGCTGCTATTCGGAAACTAATTTCTTTTGGTGATCCATTAGCGGCATCAATGACTAAAAGCAGAAAACTGTTAGTTTGATCTTCAAAATAAGGAGCTTTGCTCACAATAGATAACGATAAAACAAATTATCATTGGCGTTAGTTTCTTCATATTTTTCTACTAGTTCTGGTACTGCAAGAAGTTCATATAGTTTTATCTAAAAGAATAACCAGAATCGTACCTATGATTGAACAAGAGGAGATACGTTTAACAGTAAAAAACAGGAGAAATAGAAACTACCGAAAATTTTAAGGACTTCCTGCAGCTATTTCGGAAATTGAAAATTTACGTAGGAGAGACTTCAAAGATCACGTAGAAATTACGAAATCACTCAAGGTAGTTTCTGATATACACCAAACTTTTTGTGAACTACCACAGTGGTTGAAATGCTCTGTAATGCATACAAATAAAATTTCAGAAACCACTACCGAAATTATCGAGGTTTTCAGTGCACCCAACCAACTTTCACATATAATCTTGAAAACACCAGATTAGTTTCGATAAATTCCGTAATTATCGTAATGGTACCAATACACTTCCTTTCCCATTTCGAAAGCTTTCCCGTATTAGCAAGGCTCTCTATATTAGATGGCTTCTCTAGAGTGAAAACTCTTGAGAAATGAGGGGTGAAAATGCCAGTATTTTTTCACATCCCACTCTCATCCTGGCACCGAAATCATCTTGGTGAACACTCGTAATTTCTATGATGTGGATTATAAATTGTAATAACTCTCATTTTGGAAGCCTGAATATAATTCGGGATAAAGAAATTCATACGCTTCCTGCTCAGATGCTTACAAATTGTGTATAATATAGCAACCCACCCGAGCTTTTATAAGCGCCTGTCTTGATGCAAGAGCGTTTCGCGGAGAGCCCATTATCTTCCGTTCGTTTTTATCAAATTGGAAAAAACCAACATAACAGCAAACATCTCACCACTTTCACAGAACAACACTCTTATCTATCTTATCTATTATGAGCTCGGGAGAGGAACTGGTACTAGCGGATGCGGGTGTGGGTGTGTCTTTTCTCTATATTTCATTCACACCCACCCTCAAGATATCAATGTAGAACGAGTGGCTAACAAAGTGAATAGTCTAAGTTGGTAAAAACTCGTTGTTTTCTTTTCAGCGAATAATAATATTATTCATTTCGAAAAGCGTTTTTCTCTGCTTGTAAGAGATAAGATTAAATCTTCATATAGACATCCGAAATAATATTACACTATAGAAAGAAACTAAAAAAGCTATTCATCCTCTCTGTGTGTTTCGCAGTAACCAATAGTGCCTTTCTTTACTTATGAAACTTGCAAAAAAGAGCCAAACTTTCATAGTTCTTGTCACAAAATTCGATTGGGAATAAAAGAGCTAGTAATGTCTAGAGCTCAGATTGCGATTCGTATTTCAGCTATTACTTTCGTAAGAGAGTGACCATAAATTATACATGCAACGAATTTGGATTCTAGTTTGACTTAGGACCAAACGATGCGAAATCGGGTTGACGTTCTATATTAAAGCTGAATTCGAGTACTATTCAATGAGCTCAGCTAGTGTTGAATATTCTGGCGCTTGCCCCGATATTTCTTCAACTATATAAACGACTACGGATATACTATAAGGTTCGATCACGTTCTGATTCTTCAGTGTAGGTGCATCATTAATTAGTCATTCACACGTACACCCCAGTCACCCTCGCAAGTTATTCGAGATGAAGAAATCGTGCAACAATTAGTTTGGCGATGTTTTAAGCAATGTAAGCTTAACAGAAGCGTCTGATAGACTTTTTAAATTCTTTGATGTACATTTTTGATAGGAAAACAAATATGGCAAAAGTCAACATCGGTGGAATAAACGAAATAAAATAAACAATCAGATAAAGCCAAGGATTTCGAGCCGATTTCATGCATCCTGACAATAAAAGAGAAATAATTAGACGAGGAAGTGATAATACAATGAGAATAAACAATGAAATGAAGAGATGTTTGCGTTACCGTCATTGCTTATATAAAAACTGCTTGTAAGATTGATTTAACTCAGCAGTAATACGAATACGAGCTGCAGAAATACAATTGATTACAAAAGGGACTGAAAAATGAAAAATATCCACTTGCCATTCCAGTATTTGTAAAGATGATGAGTATGTAACTATACACCATGTGCGTTGTTCAACTCCTTCATCATCGACAAGATGACGATGAATCGGATTATCGATATGTGCTAGAGAATAATAATAAGAAGAAGAAGAATTAATCGTTCGATAGCCGCACAAGCACTAAGTCAGTTGATGGTGCTCAAAATAAATCGAAGAAGAAAGTCAATAGATACGCATTGCAAATGTAAAACTAAATGATGATTTATTACACCTATTTGTGATGCAAATAGCAATCCAAATTTGATCATTTATATAATCATAGCAAATACAGATATGATTGATGATGTGAATAAATATAGACCAGAATCGATATTTCTTGTTGTTTTCATTTGAAAGATGAAAAAATGGATGTGGAAGAAAGTGACAGGCACAGCAAATTAGGAATACCATCACACCCTCAAGATGGTTACTATTAATTTATTTACAAATACACCATATATTATAATAAATGCTATTTTATATGCTGCAACTAATGTAAAAGATCCATATTTTATAGATATAATTCAATTTCTATATACTGTAACATTGATCTTATTCTACACATATTTTTGTGTAAGTAGAAATAGAATAAATGAAAAAAATTTTCATAGAAATTCTTTTAGATTTCATTTTATGTTTGTATGTGTGTATCTGAACGATATCGTTGATAATTTATGCATGTATTATTTCAAATACATCTTAATCGATGTAAACCACAAAGAATACCTGTTAACGAAGTTATCCCAATTGATTAAGAATTAATAAATTTTAATCGTTTTCATCACCAGAAGATTATGATTTATTGTCGTATTGTGTAAACTTATTTTATGTCGTTTTCCAGCTTTATGTAACAATATTGTATCTTTTAAATAAATGAAAATATCTGTCGTAAGAATGTGGGATGGGTGAACAGGTAGTGTGGATATTGTTCTTGTATCCATTCACGCATATTCATATCCCTCTGCTTGGGATATTATACGAGGATTCAGATGTTCTCTTCATCTCTAGTCACAACCAAAACAACGAGTGTTATTATAATATTATGTACAAAGTCGGTTTTTGAAAAACGTTTTCTCTCTTCTCTTTTTATCAGTCATATTATTTTTGTGTTCTATCTTTCTGTTGTATGATGGCTTTTTCTGTTTTTTCATATAACATACATGATAAAATTATTTATGCGCAGTTGCAAAGTATGATAGTGAGTCAAGGTATCACGTTGATAGACAACAAAAGATAATAACAATGTGAGAAAGAGTATCATGTATATTTTACTGTTATATTAGGAAGAAGAATAAGTGAGTTATAAAAAGAGATACATCAGTCTACATTTGTTTTTATTGAAGGTATTCAAAAGCCAAATTGTTAATGTTAATTAGAAAGTAAACTGTATTTTACATAAGAATTGAGTAGAAAAAAAGCAGTTTCAGAAAGAGATTAAGAAAGAAATAAAAATTTCAATCAAAACAATTTAACTGGAATTATATAAATACTAAAATTTATTCAAAACAGTTTCCGATGATCAATGGTTGGTTTCTAATTGAAATTTAATAAGTTACATCTTCATATAAAAAATAGGTCTCACATGATTTTAAATTACAACTACAAACTTACGCCATATAAATGAAAGGAATAAACTACTTTTAGAATGAATTTCGAAAGATTTTGTTACATCATATCTAATTTCAAGTACGATACAAATGATTATTTAAATCTTTTAGATCTTAG